AAATTTCAAATAATAATAGGCGAACTATAGAGAATTAAGTTAAACAAATTTGATACTATGTTATTGTATATGTGATAATATGATAAATCTAATGTCATTTGGTGATATCATGGTTGTTTTTAATTTTCCTAAAATTTTTAATTTTGGATTTACAAAATAACATGTTAAATTGCTTTAAAATGTTTTAGAATGTGCTTTATGAAATTATTTCATAATTATAGTTAGGAACCAAATATGCCCTTATACTATATGTGTAGGTTTAAATAGTTAGGCCAAATAATTAATAAAGGACAAATATAGTGAATTTCACCTACTTTTAAGGGTATTTCTGATTTTTTTCTGTAGAAAAACATAATATTACAACAATAACCGCAACACATAATTTCATAAAGTGGCGTTTGGAAATAATAACATATATACATATTTTATCATTACTATAATTTCATAAAGTGGCGTTTGAAAATAATAACATATATACATATTTTATCATTACTATGAAGGTAGAGAATAATACAAGTATTACAAAGAATGAAAATCATTTCTAAAATAAAATAAAATATTATTTCAAAGAATGACTATTACTGACTATTCAAATGTATATGAATCTCAAAACAAATTTTTTCCCCCAACTTGCATAGCTATAGTTGAATTACTAATAATTTGCACATGTATAGATGTTGAAAATACATCCCAATTTCATTAAATTTATGTACTCAATTTCAAAGTGAAGTTAAAAAATCTTAGGAAAATTTATTTAAAAGGCCACATGGTATGTAGATTCAAAAATTAAATATTTGAAAGGCCACATGGTATAAATTCATTTACCCAACTTCTGACAAAGGCATTTAAAGGTAATTTTACAACAATATTGGTGAAACATTAGTATGGCATTTAATTTGTATTTTTTTTACTTGCTGGAATTGAAGTCCCCATAAACCATAATCATAGATTCTCACTAAAAATAACTTTAGAATTCCAACAATAGCAAAAGAAAATGTAACCATAGTCTATTTCTCGAGCACATGATAGGTAATTGAGAGATAAAGCTATCCTATTCGTTATGAAAAATCAATGCTCCGGATCAAATAAAGCTTATCTACAATCTCACTAAAAAATATCTAACATGACATTTAAAATAGTCTGAAACTAGAATTGCAAACATAACATTACAAAAAGTTGAAACTAGAAATTTAGTGGACACTCAATATAAATAGTAACCACTTCAAAAATAAACGTCGGTATTCTTTAGTAAAAGGCGAACGAATAAGAGGAATTATTGAATTAATTTAACTTTGAGATAAGGTTAAAACCACATTCAAAATATTATTATTTGTACAAGTTTCATATATGCCATTTTATACTCAACAAGTAATTTGGACTTATACTCTTTCTGTTTCGATATGGGACTCTATTTGTTCCTTTTTCCTCAACTTTTTCAATGCATCAAAAAAGAATGTGATTCCTTTCTTGGTGATCATTAAGTTATATGTTGCACCAAATCGATATCGACAATTTTCAAATAATTTGATGAGTTCATTTAACTTTGTAATTGCTTGATATCCTCCTTTGTTAGTTTTTGCTTTGTGAGTAAGAGTTCGTTTTGATCGATATGCAAAAGTTGAAGGTGAATATAGTGTTTATTATTTTTATTGTGTAATGAAATATATTTAAATTTTAAAAAAATTACAAAGTACTCCGTACTCTACATGGAGGGGTAAATAAAAGGTGGAGTGGAGGAGTGGGAAGAGAAATGAAAAAAAAAGTTATAGAGAAATGGAACGTATAAATTTTTATCTATTAAAATAATTCCTCATACAACTATTACATGGTGTGCCTCAACCACCGTAAAATTTTTCGTACTTAAGTCCCCACAAACTATAAATACAGACTCTGTTATTTTACACATTAATGACATTAAATATCATTTTGCCCATCAATCATTTATTCAAAAATTATTTCCAAATTTATGTGATACTGACTCTGCCAATCAAATCATAATTCATGTAGCCTAGCTAGTAGGTATTGATCGCAATTTATTAGGCCTTGTTTTAGATTTTTAAGTCATTTAATTCAACATCTAATCATGCAAAATATTATAATGTAAAAAAATTAATTTGGTTTCCCACCCGATATTCAGAGCCCACAATGAAATTCCGACTAAATTCGAATCGCGCACTGCAGGGCCCATTCGGGGGTGGCGCTCCCAATTTTTTTTCTCTATATCCAAGGCTCAAACTTGAGACGTCTGGTTAAGGGTGAAACACTTCCATCAGTGCACCAATATCCATATTAATAATGTAAAAATTGTTACTAGTATATATTGAATAATGATAAGGTTGATTATGTTAAATAAAAATCTATAAATATAAAAGTGCAATGTAGAGTATATAAAAATGTCATTTAACTTTTGGATCCTAAACAAGCATGCGGAAATTGAAATTTAAAAGTTATCAATAAAGAAAAAAAAAACATTTCTTTTAAATGGAGTAAAGAAGAAAGTAAGATAAAAAAAAAGAAAAAGGCCAAACACATACACAACCCCTTAAACTTGTCCTCATTTTTCATTTTGGCACTCCAACTTAGCCTTATTCCATTTTAATCCTTAAACTCTATTTTTTCTGTACCATTTAAACACTAATACTAATTTTTATAATTTTTTAAATTTATTTATGTTCTTCAATTGCAATTTCTTATTAATAGACGTGTGCCTGTTAATTTTCGTAAGAAAATTAAACATTCGCGAACGAACATAAAAATTTTCAAACAATAATATTATTTTTTGAGATTTCTCTGTATTTTTGCATGAAAATAAATTGACGAAAGTTCTTTGATTTTCTTTCTTAAACATTCAATTAAATTAAATAACACTACTTATTTATTTTTTCTTATCATCTAGGCTATCCAAATTAACGCAAATACTCACTTTTAATTTTTAATATAAATCAATACGAATAAAAATAAAAACGATCTTCAATAAGAGTAAAAAAAGACTTCCGTTCATTGCTAATAACACTACTAAAAAATGTTAAAACTCGATTGACTTTGTTAGGTTGTCGGTGATTTTTAAGAAAGAAAACCAACACAATTTCGTCGGTTATTTTTCACACAAAAATACATAACACTCTTAAAAGAAATTATTATTTTTTAAAAAGAATTATTTTTTGTAATTTTTTAATTTTTTTAACTAAAATTAACTGACACATGTCGATTTAAAATAAGAAGTTGCAATTGAAGAATATCTATAAAAATAAAAAAATCATTAAAATAGTATTTCGTGTTAAAATGATACATAAAAAATAGAATTTAAAGATTAAAATGAAACAAGGCTAAGATAAAGTGTTTAAAGGAATAATGCAGACAAAATCGAAATATTATCAATGTATATATACTCCAAACACATCCATATTTATTACAGGGAAAAATTATTCCACTAAAATTGTTTTTCTATATGTCTTTTCACCTTACGTGCTTATGTGGAATTACAATTCAATTCAATTAGTTATGGCGATATTCATGCGTCGTCATGTGTATAAAAAAAATCTTCTTATTTTCTTTGCTTATTCAATTCAATTATGGTGATATACATGTGCCGTTACATGTATACAAAATTCTTCTTATTTTATTTATTTTTGCTTTACATTTTCATGCTATTCATTAATAGTTGTACATATTTATGTCATCGTCAAATAAAAGATATACATATATTACTCTTCATTAACAACTCAAATATCGGATTTTGAAATATCAGGCTAAAACATTGAAACTAGAATTGTAGGCAGCACGCGATAAAGTGTAACCCCTCCAAAAATAAGCGTATACCATTAATTGCAATGCACACACGGTATTCTTTAATAAAGGGCGAAAAAATAGTTCATTTGTGCTCACTGCCTGGATTTTGCTATAAGCTGCAGTTTATTGTTGGATTTGTGGTTAACAGGGCTGACTCAACAAGATTGGGGCGTAAATCGAAACTTAAGAGAGGGGCCCTAATATTTTATTTTTTCATCATATATACTTTTATTTAAAATCTATTTTTCAAGCTTTTATAGATGTGAAGTCATTAGTTACTGTTTTATAATCAATTTATTTTAAATAATTCCTTTTCAATTGATAATATAGCTAATTCATTCAATCTCTCTTGAAACATTGTTGATCTTAAATAAGATTTAGGGCCTGTTTGGATTGGCTTTTGACTTATGACTTATAAGCCAAAAGCCATAAGTTAGGATTTCTAACTTAAGGCTTATTTTTGTTATTTTGGCTTTAAAATAAGTGTTTATAAGCACTTTTAACTTTACCCAAACACTTCAAAACTGCTTAAAAGCACCTAAAATAAGTCAATCCAAACGGGCACTTAATCAATTTTAATTTCAAAAAGCTTCTTTCGGTTGAGGCAACAGTTACAAGAACTGTTAATATTATTCTATAAGCAATATGTGTATTTGAAAAAAAATCAAGTCTTTTTATTTGATTGGGTATTTTTATTAGATTATTATCTTCCATTTGTATTATTTATCTTAACACTTTTAAACGAAAAATAAATCTAAACAATCAATTCCATAATAACCATTATGTGTTAAATAAAGTTCGACATTAAGAGAATGTTTTTTTAAAATTCTCATCATCTAGTGGTCTCAATTTTACCACTAAATAAGAAATCAAAAATATTTCCATACGCTTCAATTGGTTCGTTCTATTTTGAAGTGAAAAAATAGTTTCATCTACTACAAGTAATCAACTCTAATTTCAAGGGACTTTGTGATTTCGTTATCAATATTTTCATTAAATTGTTTCTTACGAAATTCAGGTTCTAAATTCATCGCATATGCAATTTCCTTAGTAGAAATCATACAACTCGTGCCCTTGATCTAACGATCCTCATTCTCCCACTTGATAAGTTGTTGCTACTATGAATAACAAACAATAGTAATTTGAGGATATCTATGAATACCATTACTAAGAAAACATTGCAATATAAAGTTGAAACTAGAATTGTGGATGTACTCAATAAAGAGTAACTCCTTCAAAAATAGGCGTATGCCACTAATTACAATGGACACACAATATTCTTTAGTAAAAGGCGAAAGAATAGTTCGCTTTGTGCTCACTGCGTGGCTGCGTGAATTTGCTCTTAGCTGGGCGATGCCATTTTATACTCAACAAGTAAATTAAACTTTTACTCTTTCTGTTTCGATATTGGACTCCACTTGGTTCCTTTTTCCTCAACCAAAAAGTATGTGTGTCTGTGGGAGGGGGGCGGGGGGACTAACAAAATTTCAAATAATAATAGGAAATTCTATTCGAATAGCTAATTTAAATCAAGTACAAGTCAATAAAAGTGGCTTGAATAGAATCACACGATTCGGAGGTGTCTAACACTTTTTAAGAATGTAAGCAATTTGCCTGCTTTGGATGGAACTATTGACGGAGTTAAAAAGGCAAAAAAATTGAGCAAGATTTTCAAAAGGACAATAAAATTAAGTATGAAATCAAAAATGCAATATTTGGATGGAGCTGTTGACGGAGTTAAAATCTATGTATAAGGCTTATGTTAGAAGACTCACTCTGACATGAGTCTTACAAGGTTCATTCTGCTATAAGCCTTCCTTTTTAAAAAAAAACGATGTTGACTTTAAAAATAATAATTAATATTCCTTCTTCATTATTTATTTAATCATTTTATTGTTGTATTTTTTTTTTTCTATTTTCATTATTTGTATGTAAATAAAAATGTAAATGATGCAATCAAGTTTAATAGTTTTTTTTATATAATTTGCTAATATTGAGGACAAAATATAGGGACATGAAAAAAAATATAAAGAATAAAATTTCTAAACATTGCATATTAAAACTTTTGAAAATTTTGCTCAATCTTTTTACCCTTCTTGGCTTTGGACTCATATCCAATAGACATATGTTATGAATACAAAGAGTATACTGTCAATGTCAATATTTTGAGAAGTTGATATACAAGTTTGAAACGCATCATTTATAGGATTAAAAAATGTTTTAAACAGGGGAGTATAATAACCACAAACAGTTAAGTTAAACAAACACAATTTTATTCGAATAACTAATTTAAATCAAGTACAAGTCAATAAAAATGGCTTGGATAGAATCACACGATCCGGAGGTGTCTAACACTTTTTAAGAATGTAAGCAATTGGCCGGCTTTGGATGGAACTGTTGACGGAATTAAAAAGGCAAAAAAAATTGAGTAAGATTTTCAAAAGGACAATAATATTAAGTATGAAATCAAAAATGCAATATTTGGATGAAGCTGTTGACGGAGTTAAAATCTATGTATAAGGCTTATGTTTGAAGACTCACTCTGACATGAGTCTTACAAGGTTCATTATGATATAAGCCTTCCTTTTTTTTTAAAAAAAAAATAACGATGTTGACTTTAAAAATAATAATTAATATTCCTTCTTCATTATTTATTTAATCATTTTATTGTTGTATTTTTTTTTTCTATTTTCATTATTTATATGTAAATCAAAATGTAAATGATGCGATCAAGTTTAATAGTTTTTTTTTTATATAATTTGCTAATATTGAGGACAAAATATAGGGACATGAAAAAAAATATAAAGAATAAAATTTCTAAACATTGCATATTAAAGCTTTTGAAAATTTTGCTCAATCTTTTTACCCTTTTGGCTTTGGACTCATATCCAATAGACATATGTTATGAATACAAAGATTATACTGTCAATGTCAATATTTTGAGAATGCATCATTTATAGGATTAAAAAATGATTTAAACAGGGGAGTATAATAATAGAAAAATCACAAACAGTTAAGTTAAACAAACACAATTTTATTCAAATAGCTAATTTAAATCAAGTACAAGTCAATAAAAGTGGCTTGGATAGAATCACACGATTCGGAGGTGTCTAACACCTTTTAAGAATGTAAGCAATTTGCCTGCTTTGGATGGAACTGTTGACGGAGTTAAAAAGGCAAAAAAATTGAGCAAGATTTTTATAAGGACAATAAAATTAAGTATGAAATCAAAAATGCAATATTTGGATGGAGTTGTTGACGGAGTTAAAATCTATGTATAAGGCTTATGTTAGAAGACTCACTCTGACATGAGTCTTACAAAGCTCATTCTGATATAAGCCTTCCTTTTTTTTTTAAAAAAAAAACAATGTTGACTCTAAAAATAATAATTAATATTCCTTCTTCATTATTTATTTAATCATTTTATTGTTATATTTTTTTTTCTATTTTCATTATTTATATGTAAATAAAAATGTAAATGATGCGATCAAGTTTAATAGTTTTTTTTATATATAATTTGCTAATATTGAGGACAAAATATAGGGACATGAAAAAAAAATATAAAGAATAAAATTTCTAAACATTGCATATTAAAGCTTTTGAAAATTTTGCTCAATCTTTTTACCCTTTTGGCTTTGGACTCATATTGAATACACATATGTTATGAATACAAAGATTATACTGTCAATGTCAATATTTTGAGAAGTTGATATACAAGTTTGAAATGCATCATTTATAGGATTAAAAAAAGATTTAAACAGGGGAGTATAATACATATTATACACTTTTTTTAAAGTTAAGACTCTTGTTTCACTGTGCTTTTTTAGCAAGATTTTTAATGAGCCAATTATCAATGCGTATTATTAAACATATGTTTCAATGACCAATGTCATGTTCTTCCACACTTCCATAACCTCATTTGAAACCGAGGGAAAATAATGAGAATAACTTAACACTTTCCTACCTACCTACTTTAATTTTGTCTACACTTTCCTACCTACATACTTTAATTTTCTCTACATTTCTTGTGAAATATTTTACACTTAATATCATTTATTTATTTTACAAATTATTTTTTAGACATAATATTAAAAATCAATTAATAGATGATTACTATATTATTCTTTGACTTTATTAAATTTAATGCTTTGAAAAATGTGATAGATGATAAATAATATTTAAAAGTAGGGAAAATTGTGCATTATAGCAAACTATCATTCAAAATAAATGTTATAGCAACAGTTTCATTTAATTCTAATTCGTAGCAAACACTTTGTTATTCAGAGAATCTCGCTTGCCTCTCTCACTTTATACATATACAAATGTATGTGTTTGTGTTTGTATAAAGCGAGATAAAACTCTATATACAAATACATATATTTTCGTCCTATACATTTAGAATTATACAAATATAGATCTTCCTATGCCCAGTTTTCTTTTGCCTTTCGCTCTTTCTCGTTTTATACAAACACAAATTATATTACAATGTATAATTTGTGTTGTATAAAGCGAGAGAGAGGGGGGGGGGGGATTTGATATACAAATATTTTAAATCGATACAATTGTATACAAATTCAAATTTTATGCAGATATACAAACACAACCATTCATACATATACATAGTATTTACATATATACAATTATCTAACTAATATACATATACAATCGTTGCGATTTTATACAAACGAGATGCATGTCTGCGATTTATACAGATCAGATGCTCTATAGCAAACTATGTTTGCTATGCAGCGAAAATAACAAAATTGTAGCTATAGAGCGCTAATATGATTTTTATGCTTGCTATTCCTAAAATTTGCTCTTAATAGTAAAAGGGTAAATAAGCATAAAAGATAAATTATCTCTTGATTTTTTAAATTGTATAAGTATTGTTGAACAACTATTTTTAATATAATGAACAATTATTATTGAATGAATGGAGTAATTAATTTATGATAAATTTAAAAATAATTTTTGAATAAATGAATGATGGGGCAAATGAAATTAAATGTCATTAATGTGTAAGAAAACAGAGTCTACATTTATTTATGGTTTGTTGGGACTTCAACAATACTAGCCCAATATTGTTGTAAGACCACCTTTAAATGTCTTTGCCAGAAAGTTAGGTACATCAATTAATGAAATTTAATATATAAAAGTACTCTCTTTATTCATTTTTACTTTGATATATTTGAATTTAACATTTTCATTTTAAAAAATAAGCTTGACATGATTATTTTATTATATTATTCTTATTAATTGATTTTTAATATTAAGTCTGAAAATGATTTGAAAAATAAATAAATGATATAAAGGATAAAACATGAAGAAAAAAAATTATTTTTTCTTGATATGTTAAAAGACACAAGTAAAAGGGAAAGACTTTTTAAAACATCAGACACGTAAAAATGAATAAATAGAGTACCTAATTAAGTGAAATCGATATCATTTATAGTGATTAATTTATCTGACACTCTTCTTTCGTTTAATTAGTAAAAATAAAATATCACTATATTTATCAATAATTTAACTTTAAATTTTTATCCTTAATGCATGAATGTTTCAATGAGATTGAGGGTTTAAAGTCAAACTTCATAGAAAGACTTTACTCTTTCTTTCCAATTGACATATATAAGCTAAATAACAATAACATATTCAGCATAACCATACATGTGAGATATAGAGAAGATAAAATATATGCAAACCTTATAATTGAAGGTAAACCATGCAAATTTTCAATAATTTTTTTTTATAATACATAAGATTTGATATTTTTGGAATACTTCAAAATATTCAATAACAACCAATTTCATCAACCACCAAGGAATAAGGATGCAGTGCAGCGGATGGTTCCTCCCATCACCAAAGGTTTCTGTTTCGAGTCCTGGGTATGAAAAAATCCTTGGTAGGAAACACTTCCCCTGAATGGGCTCTACGGGGGGATAATCTAGATTAATCGAGCTCCAAAGTAGGTAACAATACACCAGATGGAAAACCCTTAAAAAAAAAAACCAAATTCATCAATCCAGAGTTCAACAATGTCAATAGATTTGCATAGCTATACAACAATATAACACAGGAAAAATGTGGGAAAACACTACATTCAAACGCATAGATTAGTAAAAGTTCATGAAACGAAACACCCTCCATATTGCAATTAGTGACTAAACTACATAGTAATAAACATGAAACGTCCCCCGACCCCCAACCCACCACCCCATAATTATATAACAAACACTACGATATCCACGAATCACAATGTATGAACTTGTAATGTTGAGATTAATAATGAAAGACTTGTAATGTTTCAATAATAATAATAATAATGTTT